CGGAAGCGGCCACTGCACCCCAGTCTGGGTGACAGAGTGAGACTCCAACTCAAAAAAAAAGAAAGAAAAGAAATTAATACCAAGAGAAACCCTCAAAACCACACAAATACATGACTTCTGGACGTACGACTGACTGACTTGAGTAAACAATGAAATTAAGACAGAAGTAAAATTCTTTGAAACAAATGAAAATAGAGACACAACATACCAAAATCTTTAGGATGCTACCAAAGTAGTGCTAATAGGAATGTTTATAACACTAAACTCCCACATGGGGAAAATAGAAATATTTCAAATATACAACTTAGTGTCTCACTAAGGAAACTAGAAAATTAAGAACAGACTAAACCCAGGGCTAGTAAAAGAAAAGAACCCAAATCAGGTCAGAACTAAATGAAATTGAAAAAAATTGCCGGGCTTGGTGGCTCAGCCTGTAATGCCAGCACTTTGGGAGGCCGAGGTGAGTGGATTGCCTGAGCCTGCAGGTTCGAGACCCTCCTGGGCAACCGGGCAAGACCTTGTCTCTACAATAAATAAAAAATTAGCTGGGTGTGGCAGCACGCACCTGTAGTTCCAGCTACTTGGAAGGCTGAGGTGGAAGGATCACTGGGGCCCAGCAGGTAGAGGTTGTGGTGGCTGGGAGTGTGCCAATACACTCCAGCCTGGGCAACGGAGTGAGAGAGACACCAAGAGACAGAGTGAGAGCGAGAGTGTGAGAGCAAGAGAGAGACAGAGAGAGACACAGAGAGTGGGAGAAATCAAAATAAGTACAATAAAAAATGAAAAAGGCAACATTACACCCAATTCCTCAGAAATACAAAAAATTCTTAGAGATAACTATGAGATTCTGTAAGATATAAACTAGAAAACCTAAAGGAAATGGATAAATTCCTGGAAACATACAACTTCACAAGATTGAAATGGGAAGAAACAGAAACCCTGAACAGACCAATAATGAGTCACAAAATTGAATCAGGAATACAAAATCTACCAACCAGAAAAAGTCCTGGACCAGATGGATTTATAGCTAAATTCTACCAGATATGCAAGGAATAGTTTGTTCCAATCCTGTTGAAACTATTTCAAAAAATTGAGGAGGAGGGACTTCACTCTAACTCATTCTGTGAAGCCAATAGCATCCTGAGACCAAAATATAGTCAAGATACAATAAATAAAGAAAATTGCAGGCTGATATGCCTGATGACAATGGATGTAAAAATTCTCAAGAAAAGACTAGCAAACTGCACCCAAAAGCCTCAAAGATGTCAATCATCATAATCAGGTGGGCTTTATTCATGGGATGCCAGGTTGGTTCTACATATCCAAACCAATAAATGTGATGCACATAAACAGAATAAAAAATAAGAACCATATGATCTTCTTAATAAATGAAGAAAATACGTTTGATAAAATCCAACATCACCTAATAATGAAAACCCTCAACTATCTAGGCATTGAGGGAACATATCTCAAAGTAATAAGAGCCCTCTATGACAAACCTACAGCCAACATCATACTGAACGGGCAAAAGTTGAAAGCTTCCCCCCGAGAACCTCAATAAGACAAGGATATCCCCTCTCACCACTATTATTCAACACAGTGCTAGAAGTCCTGGCCAGAACAATCAGGCCAGAGAAAGAGATAAAAGGTATCCAAATAGGAAAAGAGGAAGTCAAATTACCTCTTTTTATAGATGATATTATTCTGTACTTAGAAAACCCTAAAGATTCCACCAAAAGACCTGATAAATGATTTCAGTAAAGTATCAGGATACAATTTCAGCATTCAAAAATCATCAGCTTTACTGTATACCAGCAATGTTCAAGCTAAGAACCAAATCAAGAACACAATCCCTTTTCCAATTGCCACACACACAAAAGTATCTGGGAATATATCTAATCAAGGAGGTGAAAGATCTCTACAAGAATGTGACAAAACATTGTTGAAAGAAATCAGAGATGGCACAAACAAATGGAAAAATATTCCATGCTCATGGCTTGGAAGAATCAATATCATTAGAGTGATCTAGATATTCAAAACAATCCCTATCAAATTACCAGCATTAAGCCGGTCTTGAGGCCTTGTTCTGTTGCTCAGGATGGACTTAAATGCCTGGGCTCGAGCAATCCTCTCGCTTTGGCCTCCCAAATTGCTAGGATTACAGGTGTAAGCTACCAAACCTGGCCCAGGATGGGTATTTACTAAGTCAAAAATCAACTGGTGTTGGTGAGGTTGAGGAGAAAAATGACTGCTCATACACTACTGATGGGAATATAAGCTAGTTCAGCTGCTGTGGTGAGCAGTTTGGTGATTTCTCAAAGAGCTAAAAATAGAATTGCCACTCAACCCAGCAATCCTATTACTGGGTATATACTCAAAGGAACAAACTGTTCTACCAAAAAGACACCTACATTTGTGTGTTTTTGCAGCACTATTCACAATAGCAAAGTAATGGAACTAACTTAAGTGCCCATCAATTAGAAATAAAATGAGGTACACATACATGATGGAATACCATACACTAATAACAAAGAATAAAATCATGTCCTTTGCAGCAATATGGATGCAGCTGGAGATCATCATTCTAAGTAAATTAACACAGACACAGAAAACCAAATACATGTTCTCATTTATAGGTGAGAGCTAAACTCTGGATGAACACGGACATAAAGATGAGAACAGATACTGGTGACTCCTCCCAACAGTCACCAGGGAGGTGGGGAGTGGGGTGAGAGTTAAAAAACTAGCTATTGAGAATGCTCACTATTTGGGTGAAGCCCAAACTTCATATGCAATATACCTATGTAACTAACTTGTGCACTTACTTCCTGAAGTTACCAAAAGAAAAAAAAAAAGACACACAAAATAAGATTAAAGGCACAAAGGAAGCATTACATCAAGCCAGAATATATTTAGATATTGATCATATTTAAATAATTATCTTTCTTTTTCCTTCAGTAGGTGATGATGACTTCATAGAATTTACCACAGTTTCTTTAGAATCTCCAAAAGCATTGCTGGAGGAGGCTGGACTAGGAGGTAGATGCTGTGTCTTCTCAGTTTTCAAAGTCTCCTCATATTCTTTCATGGCAACAGGACTCGAGTGGTCATTTTTTAAGACACAGCCAGATCCAAAGAGTTCTTCCATTAGACTGCTTTTCTTGTCTCTAAAAGTTGTATTGTTCACTTTTATTCTGGAAGACTTACCAGAAGAGGGTTCATACCCACTAGCAGAATGTTCTAGCTTCATTTCTTCTATATTACTGCGATGTCTACTTGTACCATGATTGCATCTCATGTTGCCTGGCCCACCTGAAGTAGGAAGCCCGTGATGCAAGTTTTCAGTTGCTTCTGTGAATAAATAATGCTTTCTTTGTCTGAATGGTATTCTGTTATATGGAACAGCATATTTATCAGGTATCTCATCCCTGTCATTTATTTGTATACTTCTTTTAAACTTTTCTTTAACTGTATTATCTTCTTGATTGTTTTCTCTTTCAGAATGAAGAACTTGAATTCTCTTTGGTGGTAGTTCTTGTTCTTCTGTCATTAAAATGTTTTTCTTTTCTTGGTCTTCCCTTTTTTCTTTTTGTCTTCCAATATTCTCCAGAGGTGCTTGTACTTCCAAATGTTCTTCTTCCTTTGATAAATCTATATTAGAAACATAGACAATTTAGTGATGTTTAAAATTAATGGATTTCTGTTTCAAAATGGCATGTTTAGCACACTTATTTACACCTCCTGATAAGCACATTGAAATAACAAAAAAGCCAGGTACGGTGGCTCAAGCCACCATATTCCAGAACTTTGGGAGGCCAAGGTGAGAGGATTACCTGAGTCCAGGATTTCGAGACCAGCCTGGGTAATTTGGTGAGACTTTGTCTCTACAATAAATAAAAGAAAAGAAAAAAGAAAAAAAAAATTAGCCAGTGTGGTAGCATGTACCTGTAGTTCCAGATACTTGGAAGACTGAGGTGGAGGCATCACCTGAGCCCAGCAGGTTGAGGCTGCAGTGACTGTGAGCATGCCACTGCACTCCAGCCTGGGTGACAGAGTGAGATGCCAACTCAAAAAACAAAAAAGGAATAGCAGAAAAGGTAAGAAAATGGATATATACAACAATAGAATACAGAGAAGTGTGCTATTAACAAGCTTAACATGTTATCATTTCCTAGAACTTCTTAAATGAGAAACCAAAAGAAAAATGATATTCATAGAGGATGCAATAAAATTTGCCAATAAGCTTATTAATAGATGTTCAACATTGCTAGCTGGATGTAATGACAACTAAAACAACGAGAACATTTTTCATTCATCCAATTTAAAATAATTCCTAGACTTGATGGAAATATGGAGAAACTGATAAATAATTTCTAGAGTTAGTGAATATGGGGAAATTGGAATTTTTGATCCCCATTGGTGGGTGTGTACTGGTACAGCTTTTAGGAATGGCAATTTGGCAGTATCAATAACAATTTTAAGTGAATACACTCTTAGACCCAACAGCTTCATTTCTTGAAATGAACTTATAAAAACCAGACAAAGATAATTAAAAGAATGTTTTCTGCAGCATGGTTTAGTAACAATGAAACATCCTAAATACTATCAAAGGAACAATAGACAATGGTTAAATAAAGTATGGTCTGTGAAGTCTGTGGATGGAGAAAGATGTTCCCAGGCTGGACTGTAAGCACATGAAGGCAAGGTGATTTGTATTTGCTTACTGCTATCTTCCTAATGCATAGAGCAGTGTCTGACACACAGTGTATGTTCAAAAAGTATTTTTCAGATGAATGAATAAGTTTTCTAGGACAATATGAATTGCAAAAATTGAAAAATAACTGGAAAACTCAAATATACCAGTGACCACAGTGAAACTGCAATTGATGATGTTTCTACTAAATTGCACTAGACAGAGTGACTTCACAGGTGAGTTCTACAAAGCTGATGTGTTTGAACATTATTTGGTCTCACAACTAATGTGTGGCCCCTTCTCGGGCTTACACTGAATGTGCAGTGTGTTCAACAAGGGCTTTCCATTTTGGACTGAGGGAACATGTATAATTTGCAGCCCTGAGTGAACCCTGGGAATCATTCATTAGTGACTGTTATTTCCTCAGAAGTTGTTCTAGCTCGGCCTCATGGGGTTTCACTTAGATTTTCCCTTAGTAGTAATATATTGTGAAAACAATGGAGCAATATCTTCGATTTTCTGAAGAAAAATTATCTCCAACCTAGAATTTTACATCTAGGAAATTATAACCCAGGATAAGGGTAAAATAATGACATTTCCAGATAAAAGGTATACAGATTTATCTTTCATGCACCCATTTGCAAGAAGCTAGTAGAGGTCGTGCTCTTTAAAACATGATAGACACAAGAAAGGAAAGACTTGGTTTAGGAAACAGAAAATCCAGTGGAGAAGGGAGGTGACAGGAACCTGCAGGAAATGATGAAGGGAGATCACAGGATGGCAGCGCACACTAGAGGTGAAGAGACAGACTAAGACCCCTGCTCCGTTAGATCTCCAGGTACCTGGTAAGCTGAGTAGGGCCTTGGCCTACTTTAACCATGGCTGATGAAGTGTTGCACTCTTTGTCATATCCTGCAGCCTGGTCCATGCTTCTCCCCAGAAGCATTTTGCTGTGACCTACTCCTGAAAGCTGGAGGAAACTTTGGTGACCTTAGAGCAGGAAGTGCTGAGCAACTCATTCCCTCCGACCCTACTTCTATACCTGCCCATCAAAGCCCTGCCAGATGCCATGGATCTAATGGTTTTTCTATCTCCCAGGATGATTCATGACCACTGATTTGGTCCTTGCACCTGCTGGGGAGTAAAAGCTAGAGTTTCTATTCAGCTTATCTCTTCTTGGAAGTCTTCAGTAGTAGCAATATTGCCCTTTACATAGCTGAATTTGGATTTGCTACTCAGGTTTTCAAAGTGCCTATGTTGGACTGTGTTGTTTAAGGATAATGTTAGGGGTGGAATGTTTATAACCTCCCCTGGCCCCAGATTTCATATATTGAAGCCCTAATCCCTAATTTGGCTGTATTTGGAGATGGGGCCTTTAAGGAAGTAATTCAAGTTAAATGAGATCATAAGGGTGGGACCCTCATGATGGAATTAGTGTCCTTATTAAAAGCAACACCAGAGCACTGGCGTTCTCTCCCCCAGCCTCCTCTGCTGCAAGCACTGAGGAAAGGCCACATGAAGATATAGCAAGAAGGTGGCCATCAACAAGTTGGAAAGACAGCCCTTACCAGAACCAAATGGCTGGAATCTTGATCTTGGGCTTCCTAGCTTCTAGAACCATGGGAAAATACATTTTGTTTAAACTACCAGTCTGTGGTGTTTTGTTATAATAATATAGAGACATTCAAGGACAAAGAGCTGTGAGAGAAAGCAAGGCAATGCCTGGCATAAAATCCAAGATGGTGGTGGTTTTTCATTGGCAGTAAGAAGCTAGTAGAGGGTGAATGGCCCGTGTGAGTGTTCTAAGGAGAATTCATGCCCTATTACTTAAGCAGAGTACTGGGTACACAGGTGTTCCTTTTATTATAATTCTTTAAACTGCACTTATATTTTGTGTTTTTAAAGATGCACATATAGCCATTCCCAACTTTTAAAGAATCAAATAAGAATAAAGGAGACTTTTAAAAGTTATTAAAATTACCTTCATATTTTCTCTTAGAATCCTCTTGCTTTGGTAGTTTACTGATATGGTGAAGAATTTCACAATTTATTTCAGTTGATTTTTCTTTATGACCAATGTTTCCTGCTGACTTTTTACCCTATAATTTAGAAAGGCAGCAAAAACACATTTTTGGGTCTAGATTATCTTAAATTGTAATTTATTCTAGTAACTACAAAGGATATTTGCATAGAACAAGTGACTGAAGCCTAATTTATTTTTTGTTAATACATATTTAATTAGACACTGCAAGATTTAAAATTCACTGTACCTTAGTTGTCAAAGGTGGAACATCTTCTGATTTTTGGGTTTCCTGGTGTCTCATACTTGTAAATGACAAAACTTTTCTGTCTACTTGTACTGATTTTGTTGAGTAAACTACAGAACAGGCAGATTATATATAAGAAACATATTGTATAATTGAAAGCAACATTTTAAACATAGAATACTAGTCTATACAATGTAATAAAACAAAATATGTTAGATCTTTTCTAAATATTCAACATAAATATAGCATTTGCTAATTTCCTTTTTTTCCTGCCATGGTTCTTGTTTTGTTTTACTTTGGGCCACAAAGGTTATGGGCAGCACATATTAGAGTACAAAACAAGTAAGTGTTAGGATAAGACAGTGTTGTTGTGTGAAGACAAGGCTGTTCCTTGTAGAAAGGAGTCAAAAGCTGAGCCACCGAAATGTCCTGTGCCAGAGATCTTGACGATCAGTGGTTAGATAGCCCATAATTAGGTGCGTGACCACTAAATCTAGATTTCACTTTCCTTGAAATATTATATCATTTAAACAACCCCATCAGTTAAAAGGTACAGACATTAGTCGCAACATAGATGAATCTCAAAAACACTATGCTGAACAAAAGAAACCAGATGCAAAAGAGTACATGCTGTGAGATTTCACTTAGATGAAAGGCCGACTAAGCTATTGTGACTGAAGGGAAACCAGTGCCTGCCTGAGGTGGGGTTGGGACTACTGACTGCAGAGGTGCACAAGGGAACTCCTTGGGTAGATGGAAACATTCAATATCTTGATGGGGGTGGTGGTGACATGAGTATAAGCATTTGTTAAAACCTACTGAACTGCACACTTAAAATGGGTGTATTTTATGGAAGTAAATTATACCCCAATATGGTTTATTTAAAAAAGCCATACATTGGCTAACAGATATACTTAGGAAGTTCAATTTTTGACAGACATTTTGATTCAAGCTGAAAAGTTATCCTTTCATTTCACCTGGAGCGGGGACAGAAAGGTCTGTGCCAAAAATGGGAAAACAGGAGAGCATTTCTATTATTTTCTCACTATTTCAACCATATCACAGTTTCATCAGTTCTTCTAGAATCATAAAATGTATTTCAATGCCTAATAACATGTTTTTTTAAAAAAGTCTGTTATTTTGGCTATTTAGGAAAATCTGACTAGATACTTAAAAATAGATTGTGAGCAAAAGTAATTAAAACATACCTTTTGGATAATCTTCTGTGTCATATAAATTTTTAAGTATTCGGTTAGTATAGATGTTTTTAATTTCAAGCTCACGATCCTTCTCCTAAAAAAGAATTACACTATCAATTTTTCTATAAATGTTTGCTTTTATCAACCTTGATTTCTTTTAAAAGACATTTGAAGTGATCTCAATATTCTTTGAACAAAAATCTATAGATTATAGAAGAAACAGAAATAGGTCATATCATTATCTACCATTCCTGACATAAAAAAGTACTAGCTTTTTTTTTTTTTTTTTTTAACTAAGTGATACACTATTGTGATGGGGACAATATCTTTGAAGAGCTTTGCAGATAAGCTTTTTCACTGATACTTTTTCTGTTCCTTGGACCTGTGCCTTGAAGTTTATTGTTCCTCTGCACTGTCTACTATAATAGCCACTAACTATAAGTTGTAATTTAAATTAATTAAAATGAAAAAAAAATTCTGTTCTCAGTCACACTAGTATGCATAGTTCAAGTTCTCACAGCTGCATGTGACTAGTGGCCGCAGTGTTAGTGCAGACAGGACATACCTGCCATCGCAGAAAGTTCTATCAGACTAGGTTGCATTTGACAAGTGCTGGGTGGGTAAAACTTAGAACAAGGGCATAGTTGTTCAGTTTTAAATCTCAATATTGACTTTTTTGAGTCTTGTCAAAATCAAGTTTTGAAACCCTAACCTGAGAGGAACAAAAAAGGGCTTATTCAACACCAAATAAACCTTCTTACACATATGTCAAGAGGCAAGCCTGTTGGACTCAAGACCATTGAGTTTTAGTAGAAATCACAGTCAAGAGAGATGGGCATATAGGAGTTAAGGATGGTTCCTGCTGTTTGATTAGAAAGTCCAGGAGGAAGGGCTCTAGGGATGTGAGAGTATGACAGACAGACACACAGACAGATGTGTGTACACACATAGAGGGAGTTCTGTTCTCCTTGTGTACCTTAGGGTCAAGTCTATAGGCCATGGCACATTCAGGGGTGAGAAACATCTCTGAGATTTAGAAAAGTCTCAGTGAAGGAGGCCTTGCAAGCTTCTTTTAAAAACTCCTCATTCATCCTGGAGCTAAAGTAACAAGATACTGCCCAAGTGGTAAGTTAGATAGGGCTAAGTACAATGTCTAGGCAAAGGGCCAGAGACAGTGCTTCCCTGACCCCCACAAACAGTGGGACTTCTGGGAGTAGCTACACCTGATCTGGAGTCCTCAGCATTATGGATCCAGGTGATCCCACAGCACAGGCTATGATATAGAGTGTGTAGCCAGGGATCAGATGGAGAATGCATCACCAAGCACTTGCACTGACAATGAGCAAGGGCAGATCACTGAGATGTGATCAAACCAGGAGGCGGCTGTGAGTTTCACCAGCCACATTCAGTGCACCAGACAAAGTCCTGGGAATGTGGTTAATTAAGACCAGTCACTGCTCAGTAGAACCAGGACTAGAGAGGGGAAAGAAGACAGAAGATGGAGCAGAGGCTTATTTCCCCTCTCACCAAGAAGGCACACAAGCCTTCCTCTATTCCCAGAATAGCCTCACCACTGAGTGGTGGAAGATGGGGGTGGGGAGAGTTCTGCAGGTGTATGAGACAAGCTAGCATAAGGATACTTTTAATTAGAAGAGACTGAGATGAGCTTTTATTCATTTCTCTGTGTTCATCTCCATCCTCACCCCTAATTTGTGGGAATGTGCCTCACAAGGATGTATGGCTCAGTTATAGAAAATAAAGAACATTTCATTTCATTTCATTACTTTTGTGCATATGAGTTGTAGAGTGTAAGTTTTATATTCATTTGAATCATAAAATTAGTTTATTATCAGAGGTGCGTAATTAGACACAATATTATAATATTAATATTTTCTAGAATTTAGGTTTCCAGAAGCAAAAATGTTATAGTTTGTCTCCTTTTCTTTCTTTCTCATTGTGGTAACACTTAGCCAAAATAACAGGAATGCTGACAGTTTATTACCATGAAAAGCTTATCAAATGTGTTCTGAATAACATGTTTAAGAAGGATATTGTGTAAAACATTTTAAAATGAATTTTCACCCACAAATTTTGGTTATCTGGAAAGTTCAACTCTATCTTCTGATTTGGTATGGTCAGAGGGTCAATAACAGAGAGTAGGAAGGAGACAGATCAAGAACTGAGAACTGACAAGTGGCCATCATGGGGATGCCTGGGGTCACAAGGAAACAACATAAAGGAGAGTCCTCCTTCAGGCCCAGAACAGAGGTTCAAGTCTGGGTACCCACAACAGAGGTAGGCCAAAAGTCTAAGACAATGGGTTTGGGACATAATTCATGGTACTTGTGAGGTTGAGTTCAATCAGTTAGTCAAGAGCAAAAATAATGAGGAAAATCCATGGCTAGGAATGCTCATGGAATGCCTATGGAATACTCATAGGAAAGACTACTCACAGGTTCAAAAGGTATCAAGTAAGAGTTAAATGGGAAGTTGGGAATGGTGGGGAACCATAATAAGATCAGCATTGATGGTTTCCAGAAATTAGCTAGGATGTAATATTTTCCTAGACACCTCCCAGAAGTAAGATTGTAGCCTGAATATAAACTAGGGTTGCAGTACCTCATTTGGGGGCTATAGAAGGCTGACATCCATCTTTTCACTTCTGCTCATACTCCACATATGGGAGTAACGCCCCCCATGAGTACATACCTGGGGAAGAGACAATCCTGCATCTCCCACCAGAGGAGATCTCCCTGACAATACGAGAGTGGGAGGGGAGAACTGCAGCCCCACCCACCCCCACTGCCCCTCCTCCTTCCCTGCCCCAGGCACTGGGGAGAAAGTGAAAGAGGTGGAAGTTCTGCAGGAGAGAGCAGACAAGAGGAACAATTACAGAGTCTGCCACAAGAGGGCAGGGTTTTAAAAAAATTTTTAAACAATTAAAATTTTTTTTGCCTGTTTGTTACTTCATCCATTAAAAAAATATTTTTCCTTTGTACACAAATGTGTATGTGAGGGTTTGATCTGCATCCCCTCTTTCTTTTTTCTTTTGTTTTCTGCTTATATGTGTATGTGAATGATTGAGTGTTCACCTTTTAGTTTTTTTGTTGTTGTTGGTTTGTTTTTGCTCTTTCGTTCTTCTCTCTTTTTTTTTAGTTTAAGGTATGTGTGAGGGTTCATTCTGAATTCCTTTTTTTTTTCTTTCGGGTCTTTCTGTTTTTCTTCTCCATTCATTTTGTGCTAGGTGTGTGTGTGTATGTGTTTAGTTTTCCTGGTTTTGTTGTTGTTTTTGTTTCATTTTGTTGTTATTTCAGTTCATTTTGGGGTGTGTGTGTGTATGTCTGTGTGTGTGTGTGTGTGTGTGTGTTCAATTGTTTTTTGTTTTGGTTTCTGTTTTCATTGTTTTCTCTCTTTTTTAAAAAAAATTATTGTCCATCTTATTTCATTCTATTTTTCTCTGTGCTCCTCATTGCTGCCACTGTATCTTGGACTCAGGGGGTACACACACATACCCATTACATCATCATATAGCATGGTGGTGGGGAGTGGGTCTCAGGGAACACATACCACAATTGGTGAGCATTGTAATTTGCAAGTAGTTTCTGAATCCTAGTTCCCCATCCCCAACCTTATTCAACTTTCAAAACTACAAGAGACAGAAAAGCTTCACACCCACAGACCTGTTTCAAATTAGAACCAACCCAGAACCCAGATCAGGGGAGAATAGAAGGCTGAGCAAACATGAGAAGGGAAAGCTTCTCCCACTGACACCGAATAACAGAACTAAAGAGAAAAGCAAGAGATCTGTCACAAATGAGGAAAAACAAAAGGAAGACCACAGATAATTTCAAGTGTAACAAAGAGAAAACAAAAAATCAGACCTCAGATGCCAAAAAACGGAAGTCACCAATGACTAGCCCCAGAATACAACAGGGATTGGGAAATGGATGGAAAGAGTGAATAAGACTCAAGAAAGACAAGATGCAACACTGAAAGAACTTGCAACAGAGATTTTGGCAATAAAAAATTTCATCCAGGAAGTAAATAGCAAGATGACAGGCATGGAAGGCAGAATTAATCTAGCTGAAGAAAGACTCTCAGAACTTGAAGACCAAAACATGAAATTAACCCAATCTGTAAAAAACATAGAAAGAAAATTCAGAAACAAAAGAACAAAACCTACAAGAGATGTGTGATTATATCAAGAGGCCAAACCTATGCCTGATTGGTATCCCAGAAGAAGAAAGGGAAATGGAGAACACCTTGGAGCAAATATTCCAGGAAGTAATCCAAGAAACTTTCCCCATCTCACCAGAGAAGTGACCAGCCAAATACAAGAGATACAGAGAACCCTCACAAGACATCAAATGGGAAGACCAACTCCTAGACACATAATAATTTGCCTACACAAAGTAGGAACAAAAGAAAAAGTAATAAAGGCATCAAGAGAGAAAGTTCAGACTATCTACCAGGGAAAACCAATCAGAATAGCAGCAGACCTAGTGGCAGAAACACCACAAGCAAGAAGGCACTGGAGTCCAACATTCAAAGTCCTTGAAGATAAACAATTTCAACCAAGAATTTCCTACCCAGCCAAGCTCAGCTTCATCGGTGATGGAGAATTAAAATCCTTCCCAGACATCCAATCTCTAAGAGATTACACAGCTTTTAGACCAGCTTTACAGGAGACACTTAAAAAGTTATTAAGCACAGGTGAAAGAAAAAAAAAAAAGACCACACACTTCCCAAGAGAACAGCAGAGCACAGAATCAACAGAGAATACAGTACAACAAAAAACTTGAAAACACACACATACATCAACCCCAAATCCAAAAGAAAACAAGCAAACAAATGAGTACAGCGTCTGTAGAAATCAGTGTGGTGATTCCTAAAAGTTCTAAAAATCAACCTTCCATATGAACCTGCAATCCCCTTACTGGGAATATACCTGGGAGAACTCAAATCACTGTAAAAAAGATACTTGCACACATATGTTTATCCCAGCATAGTTCACAATAGCAAAAACATGGAACCAACCATGCTGGCCATCAAAAGAGGACTGAATAAAAAAAATGTGGTACATATACACAATGG